AGCAGTTTGTTAGGAAGTGTCTTTCATTCTTCTTCTTTTTTTCCTCGTTTTTGTCGTCTAATTCGATCATATCCGTTCTAAAACCAACAGGGTACGCGAATGAATCGGAAACTGGCAATGACACGTCGTTATCGTTTATTAAAGCAAAATATGGACAGATCAAAAGAAGAAAGAAACACGAAAAGAGCATAGGTAGCAAGCCTCAATTAGGCTAATTTATAACGACTAGAAGTTAAACTTATTTCTTCAAACAAGTAAGCATGTTCGAACTAGGGTTTTTTTTTCTGTACTTTGTATATTGATTTAATTGAATCTTCTTTTTTTTTTGTTACAGAAGGATAATAAGGCAATTTAGAATTGAAAGAAAGAAAAGTTTTTTTTTCTTTCTTTCAATCTATTGAACAATATAATAGCAAATAATGATGTTAGTCATGTATAAAACTATAAACATATTGATGATGATAGGGGAAAATGACGTCTCTTTCCATCGTTTCCTTTTGTAAGCTATGTTTTCATTTTTGTGTGCCTAGGGGTTGTCATGATTTAGCATGCAAATTAGAACAAAATTTATTACAACGATCAGTTCAGCTGTTCAGATTAGAGCAAAAACTATATAGTCGTTATTTCAATTCGAAGATAAAGCTAAGAATAACAAGAAAAAAAAAGATATTCATGTCTTAACAAGCGCAACAACTTGTTCTTTTCTTCTCAATAAGTTATATTTGACACATAACGAGTGGGCGGACGAACTTCAAAATCGATAAAGATTTATGAGACTATACAATAAACAAATAGAATCATATTTTTTTTTTGTATCTTGTAAGAAACAGTTTTTTTGCCTTTTATGAATAATGAAATAAAGATTGAGAAGTTTTTGTATGTGCGTGTTCATTTTGTATTTTTATTTTTTTTTAAGATTATGAAAAGAAATAATAGAGTTAATGATGAAAGAAAGTATATACCGAAGAACAATAAATCTAAATGATATGAAATAATTTCCGTGCAATAAACGAATATTATTATTATAGTCTTACATTTTTACTATTTGATTATTTCTTTATTATATAAAAAAAAAAAAGAGCAAAAAGTAAATATGAAGCATTTGTATTCTAAAATATTTATGTCGATATAAAATTTCTTTGTTACTTCAAAACTATACTAATTATTAAGTATCATGTAAAGAGAAAAATATTTATTCACCAAAAAAAAAAAACTAATTAAAACTTGTAAACCTAACGAAAAAAATTCATTGGTACGGACTTGTCATTTACATATAGACTGACAATGACAATGACATTTTTTTATAATTTCTTTTAATATAATTTAAAATGTGAAAAACTCTATGAATCAAATATTGACTTGTTTTATCTTCTATATAAAAAATTTTCAAGTACAAAAAAGTGTAAAGAAATGATTTTTATACATTAAAATAGATAAATAAATAAATAAATAAACATACTCATATAAATTATCTTCATTATGTATTTGTGTTGTGTTTGTTTTTGTTGATGTTACATCAATTTCATGAGAGACATCATCTACAACTTGTTCTTTTACATATTTGACATGTGGTTTATGTTGTGAAAAAAATGGACGGTCTAAAATTCAATAGATTAAGTTGATAAATTAGAACAAAGAACAAGAAAAGAAAAACCAAGAAAAAAAGCTAATCAAATCCGATTGTAATAACATACTAGTTCTCCAACAACTCATCAGTCATCAATGGCGAACAGCAGTATATAATTGGATAATTGTAGTTATTCAAATACTAGTACATATATACTAGTAGATATTATCAATGCCATCGTATAAGTATTTCCCATGAGTACTTTGGTAGTTTAATCAATATGCATAGATCTTGCTTGTAGATCGATGATATATCAGAGGTTGTGTTTTTTTTTTCTATTTTCTCCTAGGCTGTTTTTCTTTCGCTCCTCTTTTTTTGTTTATAAGAATTTCTACAAATGATGTTCTTCATATCTATCTCTAGACTAATGATAATCCATCGTTCTTCATGTAGGTGAAGAACCTGATGATCATTTCTACTTGTCTGATTTTTGTCAGGCTTGTCTATCATTTGATGTGCAAGATACTATTTCCGACTTTTTTTCCCATGCATATATAGAATTCTTTTTATTTTTAGTTTTTGTTATAAATGACAATGATAAGTATATAAATATTGGCAACATAATTTATAGAAAAGACAACATGTGCATGTCAGATTATTTGTTGAATTTAGATTTTTGCAAGAGGCTTATCTTTATCAGGTACTCAGATTTTAGTAATAAATCTCATGAATAAAAAAAAACGAAGGCTTTGTATTTATTAGAATTGATTCTCTTACCATTGTAATTAATACTTTGTCGAAGCGAGTGCTTATCCATTTGTTGACAATAACTGTTAGTAATATTTTGATGTTCATCATCATTATTATTATTATTAGTCTCATCAATATTTTCTTCAATCGTTGGTAAAACTAAAATTATAGATGTTCCCATCGTTTCTCTACTAGTATTATTTCGATGCATCAAAGACTGATTATGCATGCTTATGTAAGCACAAGAATGGAAAAAATGGGAAGAGTTGTTAGACTATACGTCTATAAATTAAGTGTCAAGTGTCAAACATTTAAATGGAAGAAGGGATGCAATAATGTGTCGATATAACAGCAAACTCCATAGAGGGACAACTGTGGGCGACACAAAAAAACGAGGTATAAGTTTACTGAAGCACACATTTACAGACATGGTATAAACAACTTTTACCTGAAAGAATAAGACTGTCATCATCGTCGTTGTCACTATCAATACTGAAACTGTTTTCAATTAGCTCATTGTTATATTCCGCAAATTCTTTGACACTTTTCGAATCATTATCGTTATGTCCAAAAACAAAAACACTCAATTGAGCAGGAATATGTCCATGATTGATATTTGTTTTTGATGAATGCATGTTTTTTTTTTGTTCTCTATTTAAACATGATTAATCATTTCTGAATAACTATAAAAAATTAATTACTAAATTGAATAGTTACATTCAAAAAAAGTTCATTGTCTTACATAATGAAGAACTAAAAAAAGAGAAAAAGAACAGAAAACAATAAAATGACATCAAAGAATCTTATTTTTGCTTGTGTTCTATTAATGACTTAATGTTAGAGATGTAGAACGCAGACGACAATATTTTTTTAAAATAAAACGAATAGCAGAGAATATGTTGCCAATGAGAAAAAGCATAACAACAACAAAAAAAAAAAAAGAAGAAGAAAAGGATCACGACAATGATGGTAATTAGCAGACAGACAAAAAAAAAGAAAATAAAACGATGAAAACAAAAATGCTGCCAGCTACAAAAATAACTTGTCGAAATAAAATGTCTGAGTACTGAATTAACACGCATGTCTCTCGAGAATAAATCACACAAGCATATCTATACACGTTTCCTTTTTTTATAGTTTGACATTTAATAAACTTACGACAATCAACTTATAAGACAATACTTCATGTCGTCCTTATTCTTTTCTATTTTGGTTAGTTATTATTATTTTATGAAACTAAATTTTTTTTTTTATTAATTAAGAACTTTGAATAATTCAATGTTAACAAGAAAGAAAAAGAAAAGAAAATGTAATTTCCTGTTCGATTTTCTTCGGAGTTTTATATTAATATAAGATAAAGAAAAGAAAAATGACGATATTCTACTATTTTAAACGTGAACATCAATCCATAGTAATCTTAAATAAGAAGATTATTTATGTTAATGGAACTTTGGTTTTCTTTATTTTTTAAAATATCATATTAGATAGTTTTTTTTTTCTTTTATTAACTTGATTTATAATCTTTTTCTCGTCAATACAAACAAGTGTTTTCTTTTTTTTTTTTAAAAGTCTATTAAGCGTTTACGAGGATGATAAATATATGGTAAAAATGGTTGATTCCCATCATCCATGTTTGATATTATATGATGATTATAATTATTTGACAATTGATGAGGTTGTAAAAATTTATAACCATGTCCATAGTGAACGATTGGTCGATATGACGATGCTGATGGATGACCATAGATATTTCCACTTGATATAACGAGAAGTACGATGAGCGTAACTGTAAAGACAGTCATGATGCGTATATATTGAGAAGATAGAAATATTTTGTGAAGTAAAAAAATGACTATGCGTTTGGAGTTTTTATAAGCGTTTATTAACGGTTTTTTGATTTATTACGATATTTAAGTATGATTAAATATACTCATGTTACATATAATTTTAATTAGCATTTGTTTAGTCAATTTACTCATTTATTTTTGTTATTTTTAAAGTTCTCTATGTTAAAGTGTTTCTTGAGAATACTAGAAACTAAAAATATCCTTCTTTTTTTGGTTTTTAAATAGAATTTCTACCAGTTAAAACTGAAAAAAAATCTTGTTTGAACAGCTGAACAAGGTAAATTACATTCATACCATGTAAATGAATAAATCAATCATACTCAAGTTACATTAATATACGCGAATGATTTTTGACAAAGAATAACTAAATTAAAGTATCAATATATTTATTAAGTGCAGATTCATCTTTATATCCCATGCATGTGGTATAGTATATACTAATTAGCATGCATGACTATGAAAAATGCATTTTCCACAAGGGTGCCACTATTAGTTAGGTTCTTCATTTTTTTTTCTTTTGTAAATGTACTCATATCCTTTGACCTACGAAACGTTTTTGTTTCTAAGATCTATTTATTTTTGTAATTGTAAATTATTAAAAATTCATTTGATTCAATCATGAACAATCATTTGAAAATGAATTACAATTCTCTAATTTAAATGATAAATTAATGAGAATTATCATTTTAAGATGTATTTATTTTATTTTTGATTGATAAGCAAAAATGAGCACACTTGATTTTTTTTAAGAACAAATAGAATAATTCACATAATGGAACGTAAGCGAAGAGGCAAAAAATAAAAATAAGAGAAAACAAAAAATGAAATCTGACATATTAAACATAATCACGCGGTGGATAACGATGTTGTTTTTGTTCGGAATAAGGATTGATTGTTGTTGCATATACTCGCTAAAACAATACCAAATAAAATATATATATAAATCTTTATTTTATAATTTGATTGATTCAAAGATATGAATATACTACATTATTATTTGTACGACGATTTTCTTCAGATTGATATCGTATCATTTCTTCAACATTATTATTATTATTATTATTCATCATGTTATTTTTTCTCATATTAGTATGATCATCTGGTTTTACTATAGCTCTTAAATTAAGAAAACTTGGTGGTAATGGTCCACATAATGTTGAAAAACAATTCACACATGAATTTTGTTTTGAATAAGGATTTTTCATAGTCACACCTGGACGAGCTGTATTCCATGTATTTTTAATCTTTTTAAATAAAGACAATGGACAAAATAACTAAAAAAAATTTTTATTCTTTTAACACTTACATCTTCATTTGTTGTTACACTACGACAAATTAAATATGTATGATATCCCCAAAGACCAACAACGGACCAAATTGAAAAAAAACAAATTATCACTTCAACTACTGTTGCTGGTGTATCTCGAATTGCATCAATAAATGATGGTTTATCTTGAGCTCCTATGTAAAAAAAAAAAAGAATAAAACAAACATAAAAAACATAGAACTCGTAGAGTCCAATTTTTTTTTTGCAAATCTGGACCTAGATCGAATCGTATTTTGATACTCTTAATAAAACGTTCTAATCAAAATAGGATAATCATCTCAAAGATACATGATACTTTTTTCCGATTTGTTTCATTTGATAATTATCGCATTCTACACATTTCTCAAATAACTAGAATCTGTCGAATTCAAAATTTTTAGAACTCAGATTCGATACACTCTATTTCCCAATGACCTCAATATACAACATTAAACTCATACTGTATGACATTGTATGTTTTTTTTTTGTCGATTTACTAATTAATAAAGTATTTAGGAAGTTTATTTCTTCTTGTTCTTTCAAGCGTATTATCAATCTTTTGATTATTATATGCAGACTTAGTAATTTCTTTTTAATTTTATGAATAAGCAAAAAAATATTCTTTGTATTTGTGCATCTTTAAACGAGATAAACAAAAAAACAAAAAAAAAAAAAAAAACATTAATGATTTTCTGTTGGAAACAGCGTGAAACCATGTATTAAAAAAAATTATGAAATAAGTCAAAGTATAATGAAGGATAGAGAATTATGAATGTAAAAATATATTACTTATTCTTTAGTTTCCGCTCTCGATGTTTTACAGATGATGAAAGAATATCATGAATTAATTGGAACTTTATTAAGATATTATTATTCATAGCTTAAAAGCATGCAAAGATCTATTTTTAATATTAATATATTAATTCTTTTGTAATATATAGGTCAAGTTCTACTTTGATAAATATAAGTTCGATTGACAATAGATCAATCAGTAGAAGACAAAAAAGTATTAATTTTATATTTTGAGAATAAAAGAAAATATCGAGAAAATTAATGCTTTTTCTTATGAATGTTATTATCTAGGTTATGTTTAATTCACTACAAAATTCTATAATGAGTTAACAGCTGGAAAGATCATAGATGCATTCATTTTAAATTAGTTTCATATGAAATTTTTTTTCTGTATAAATTGAAATTAAATCTAGCACGCAAATGATAACGATATTAAGAATGTAATTGCAATTACTATAAAAATTATATTGTATTAAAAAATGTTGATAATTGGCAAAAGCTAATCGAAAAATTTATTGATGTTTACAAAAAAATAAATATGTTCTGTATAATGATATTCATTTTTAATATAGAATATTTGAAAATCATTAACAGTATTGAACTAATTACCTAAAAAATGTTTAAAATTATTTATACTTCTAAAAAGAAGATCGCAAGCAAGTTGAAGAAGCGTGTTAATTAATTTGTGTACTATAATTGTAGAAATTTGCATTTGAAATCAATAAGAATATTCTTATTTTAAATAATATAAAAAGAAAAATCAAAGTTATTTATATATATGCTCTATATAAAAATTCATGTGAATCCTACGAGTTAATATTTTAATAATGTCTCTACTTTTAATGTAAAACTATATCTAATCGATAAATACCTGATCTTCGATAGAATACATTGTTCTAAAATATTCGTACAATCAAATAGATGATGTAAAAGCTCAAGAAATTTATTTATTCTTATACGATTTTTCTGAACTATATAAACAACAATACTACTCTATGTAAACATACTAAAAAATTTGAGATATATTGCGTAAAAGGAAAATCTATTCCAAAAATAAAAATTTTCACTTTTCATACTATCAAACACAAAAACATATTTTCATATAATCCTTAGAACAAGAAACAAATCCTTCACACATGGTCATAACAAAAAAAAATAATTAAGCTCTTCAATACTTACGTAAAACAATATTTGTTATATTAAAAGCAAATATATATACGCACAAAATTGATAATGAAAATAAGAATAAATAAAAATATCTATAATTTCGTAGGCCAACACAATTTCCAACCCATGGACTATTATAAAGAAAAACAAAAAACAAAAAATTATATTTCAAATAAATAAAACATACCAATGATGATCGAAATTTGCTAAAATCAAAAATGAAAGCGCATTTTTTTATTTTGCTTCATTTAAAACAAAAAAAAATCTTATGTGTCAAAAACTATTTATTTTATTATTCTTGTTAATATCAAATATTCAAATAAATTATTCATGTTCTATTACTCAATCTTACTGTTTATTAAATATGAATCGAACAAATCAGGTACATTCTTCAAATCTACAGAGTGGCCCAAATAATTTTTTTTTATATTGAACATAGTAAGTTAAAGCTCATATGTATACCACATATACTAGGTGACATAATTCCAAGGTACAGCATATGATCAGTATCTAAGTGTAGTAATTTGTTTAAAAGCGTACAAACATAGAGCAGTTAAAAGTAAGAAAACTAATCTGAGTTCTACCAAAACGTTTATTAAAGCAATAAAACTAGTTCATGACATTCACAATAATACGTATTTTTAATAGTGAAGCACACATATAAATACTAGTAGAGAATTCAAAACAATATATGTTGAGATAGTTAAATCTATATTTGTACACATTTAATAAATTACTGCACTTAGACACTGATCGTATGTCGCATCTTTGAATTATGTCACTTAGTATATGTGGTATAAATATGAGCTTTAACTTACTATGTTCAATAAAAAAAAAAAAAAACGAAAAAATAATTTGTTCTGTTACTTTTGGACTACTCTGTACTTAAGATAATTCAAAATAAGAATATAAAATATAAACAAGAATATATGAAATTTAATTTTCTGCTTCAAATATTTTTTTCGTATGTTTAGACTCAAGCTATTAATAAATGTAATAAGATAAATAATCATTTCGAACTTCTATCATTAACAAATTTAACACGTTTTGATTTAATTTTGTCTTTATTAAATAATCATACGTATCAACAAATATGGATTGATTATAATAGAACATCTTTAAAAAGTTTCTATCAATGTTCACAATTTAATTTATATAAAAATCAATGTTGGACATTATTATATAATAGTTCAGAAAAAAAATTTTGTTTAGTTCAAAATTATTGTCAAGAAGAACATTATGTATTATGTCAAAATAAATTAGTTATTTATAAATTAACAAAAAAAAATTCTCTTTTATTTATTAGTCTTTCAATAATAATTATTATTATTGTATATTTTTTAATTATTTATTATTATAAATATCGACAAATAAGAAAACAACGAAAACAATTAATTCGAAATTGTTTTCTTTCTATGCAAGATTTAGATTCATTTTAATAATAACTTACCAATACACGAATCACATAATGAACAATGTGATACGCGTGGTGGTCGAAAAATTTTACATGTTGAACAAAATTTTAATTGAATCACATGTCCACTTTCCATTCGAACGTCAAGTGTTCGACCTGGTAATGCAACATTCTGTGGACTATTTGAAAGATCTATTGCGTAGAAAAAAATAAATAAAGAAAGAATTATTTTGCTTTGTTTTATTAGTATGAAAAACAAAAAAAAATTTCTAACTTGCTCGTTCATGATAGAGTACTTCGTCTGATGTTCCTCGTGGAAGTATACCAGGATCGGAACAGGCTGTACGAAAAATAAATATAATAACAAATAGAAATATAATAGCAGCAAAAATTGGTATAGCTGGACTGAGTCGTTGAGTTAGATAGGGACAACTAAAATAGATAATGAGATGTTTTATGTAAATATTCTTACACTGCAAAATATATAATCGAGATGTTCTAATAAAAAAATTAAAATTTTTCTTTTCGTAAATTCTTACTCGAATGCAAAGAATAGTCCTGATGTAGCAATAATCAAAAAAAGAGCAAGAATCAACACTCCAATATCGCGACCAGTTAAACAGCGTCCATCGCAATAAAAACGATTTTTGCTTTCAAGGAGCTATTCAATTAAATAAAAATAGTTATTACAAAAAAACAAAAACAAAAACAAAAACAAAAATACAAACCTCCCACTTTCTAACCATAATATATTAGAACTGATAAAAACTCCTCATACGCGACAGAGAAAATAATAATCCCTACACTGATCGATGTTAAATAATTCTCGAAGACAACGACGAGAAAAAAAGAAGACGATATAAGCCGAAATCAAATAGAAAACATGATCAAAAAATGTTGAATATTATGAATGACGCTACTATCAATAGAAATTCATCTCGACAAGTAGCGTTTATTTATAACGACATCTTCTCTCATATCCATGATTAGTTAGGCATTGACAACAGGAAGAACAAAATAACTACTAAGTGTTTCCTTTTCATTTAATACAACTTTTGAACAAAAATGGCAGCAAAAATGACGACTAATTCAGATTCTTTGTTTATATCGAATATAGACAATTGTGTATTAGATTATACAGAAATAGATCAAGGTCTTAATTTATGGTCAGAAATACTTCCATTAATTGAAAAACAAATTGTTACACTGACAACTGTTGCTCAAGAAATGCAAGAATGTCCAGGTAATTTAATTGAATCATAATTTTTATATCTTTATTGTTGTTTTATCTTTTTTTTTCAGAACGTCAAAAATATGTTGATGCACTTATGAAAATTGCTGTACGAGTTAATGATGTTGAAGAAAAAGCTACTACATGTATTAAAGAAGCTCGAACACAATTGAAAAAGGTTAAAAAAGAAACATCTTTGATAGATATTAATAATTTAATGAAACACGAAGAAATTTAAATTATTAATATAACGTTAAAATATTATAATCAATAATTGAGTTTTTCCATAGTGAATAGAGGACATAAATTTAATCTTAATATTTAATTTTTCTTAACAACTTATTAGATATAGATTTGATGATATAAAGTTGAATAAATTAATTTTTCTCTTTGAAATATTCAAATCATAATGATCAAAACAAAATATTTCTAACTCGAGATTGAATACTTTAAAGATTTATTTACTAGACGGCTCATTTGTAATTCTTTCAAATCATTAATGTTTACATGGATTAGAGATGTGTAGGGTAAGGGTAAGGGTTAGAAAATTTTTTCTCAATTAGGGTATGGGACACGAAAAAAACTTACTGTACATATCATTAACGTGTTATAAGTTCGTAGGAGAAGGTATACAGTAGAGACTCTACAGTGCAGAATAAGGATTCAAAACAAAGCTTACCCTGTATATTTTCTAACATCGATCAATGTTTTTTGATTTGTTCTGTTTAATAGGTTTTTTTTTACAGTCAACAACATTTTATTTTTATTAGTCTGTTTGATCATTAGTATTTTTTTTTACATCATTACATGACTGTGCTTCGTTTCATCATTATATCATGAGTTTTGCTAGTGATGTAACCCGATACAATAATTGACAGTAGCGGATGAAAGTATTTGATGATTTTTTGAAATGAAAAATATGATATTATAGAACGTAATGATAAGAAAATTAGACCAGAACATACATGAAAACTGATCTTGAATGCTGAAAATTTAAAAAAAAAAGTCTATGATCTATTTTTATATTGCAACAGCAGTAACTCACTCGATTGACTTACATATCTAGATCTTCGAAATTAAGATATATTATCTTTTGTTTTTTTTCTTCTGTTCTCTAGACTAAACTTATTGATAAAACTAATGATATTCAAGAAAACGAAAAAGTGCGTCATCGAAAAGTTCGTAATAATCGAGACGATGAAAATTCTGATGAAGATGATGAAAGTGATAATGAAATGGAAATAGATGAATCACAAATAAATGAACAAATTGAAGTTTCAGCATTAAATAGCGAAAATTTAGAAAAATTACAAAATCACTTACAAAAAATTCTTCTTAAACAACCTAATTCAAATGAATCTAATATTGATGCTGACAATCGTTATGCTGACTTTCTTGAATGTATTTCCAAAATGCAAGGTAACAATAGAAGCAAAAAAAAAACAGAATCTTGTGATCCGTTCAAATATATTTTATTCATCATTTTAGGTAATGATGAAGATGATGATAATGATAATGATACAAATATTATTGATCAAGTTGCTTCCAATAAATGTCCATTAACACAAAAACCATTTGTTCAACCCGTACAAAATAAAAAATGTAAACATAAATATGAAAAAATGACTGTACTTAAATATATTGCTGATAAAAATAAAGCAAAACGTCCAGCTAAATGTCCATCATCTGGTTGTAATAATATTCTGAATGAAAAAGATCTTATTAATGTTTAGATTATATGTTATATAGGCTTTGTTTTCTATTGAAATAAATAGTAAGAAATAAAAATTAATATATATATATTTTTTTTTTTGATTTTCTCATATATTGATATGTTAATATTCATTGATATTTTAGCCAACATACAAACAAAATAGGTTTTTTTTTTTGGCACAAAGCCACACTAATAATATGAAATAAGAATTTCTTTTTTTTTTCGTTCGAAAGAACTAGAAGTACAATAGAAAAAATACTGTTTACTCTTTTTTTTCTCTCACATATCTTTTGTTCGTCTAAAACGACTAGTTCTAAGAAGAAGAATAAAACACTGGACATATACAACAAATGGTTAAAACAAACGAAAGATGAAACAAACAGGTATTGAGGTAAAACAAATGTTTGTATTTTGTCGATGAGCAAAAATACTCCGTCGTCTTCTTCATAAAGCTCAATCACTAGACTTTGGTGTAATTGGTATTAAAAAATTCTTTAAAGTTGGTTCAACTTCACGTGAAATAAATTCAAAAACCTTGAAAAGAAAAAATTAAGAGTGAAAGCTAACAAAAGAAAATAATTTTTACTTGTTCAGGTGCTCGACCGATGAATGTTTTAGCATCGAGAAGAACATCAAGTTTATTAACAATCGGTGCAAAATATGAATCATTTTTCACGCGTTCAACAAGATCATTATCTAAGCCGTCCATTTTAACACGTTCAGCTGCTTTTTGAGATAAAGTACGAATTCTTTCATGACATTCTTGTCGATTGCCACCAGCAGAAACCTAAATAAATTAAATATTCTCACGATCAAATTTGAATATAATTACCATAGCCATGATAATATTTTCAGTAGCCATAAATGGTAATTCTTGTTTAATATGCTTGTCAATAACCTAATTAAAATAAAAACTAATAACACAATAAACTTTTGTCATTTTTTTACTTTCGGATAAACAACAAGGCCTTCAGAAATATTTTGTAACGTAAATAAAATAATATCAGCAGTCAGAAAAGCTTCAGGAATGCAAATACGTCTAAATAATACAAAGTTTTTTTTTTAAACAAAAAATCCTCATAAATATTTCGTTTATGTTTTTGTTTTATACTTATTAGCACTATCGTCTAATGTTCGTTCCATCCATTGAACTGAATGTGTTCCAAGTGGGTCATTAATTAATGTCATCAAATGTCGTGCAAGTGAACAGCATCGTTCACATCTCATTGGATTACGTTTATAAGGCATTGCACTCGATCCTAATATGAATAAAAAGAAAGAGAAAAATCTAATTTCATTTTTTTTAAATTTGTCAATTTATACCAATTTGTTCTATTTCAAATGGTTCTTCAATTTCTTTTAAGCTAGCTAATAAACGTATATCAGTACACATCTAAATATTAATTCAATCGATTTTTAGATAAGTAAAAAAAAAAAAAAATATCGATCAAAACAAAACCTTATGAATCGAAGCACCAAAACTAGCAAGTACACTGACTACTTCGATATCAAGTTTACGTGTATAAGTCTGACCACAAATAATAAATACTCTAAAATAAATAGAATAACAAAATCGATTCATTGTTATATTTTCTTTTGTCAATTGTTATTGATTGCGACAATTGTTAAACACTTCCTGTTTGCTCTTAACATGCTTGTTTAATGGCATTCAAAAAAAAAATGTAAATACAACATCTTCTTTCATCGATCTAACGCATACTTCCTCTACACTTAATTATTAAAAGAAGATTTTTGTCTTTAAATTACAAACTTCACAAAAAACTATTTCGTATATAACATATTATTTCTAATAGTAATTTTTAATTTTCTGATGTATTTCTTTGTATACTTTGTAGTTTATACTAATGCGAGAATTTTTTGTTCTTATTCGTTCCTTTACTTTTAGTAAATGAATCTGCATAATAATTTATATCGAATCTGGAAAGCTTTTGGTTAGAGATTAAGGTCTACCTGCCTGTTGAAAACTATAGTTTTGGTCAAAAAGTTCCGATTTGACGTAATTGCATAACTGTTCAATTTCTAAGACGTTCTATCAAGTTTATTATATTTTTTCATAGGCTATTTTCTATATTGTTTTATGAAGAAAGAAGTTTTAATTTTTAGGTCAAACTTTGTTTTCACGTTTTTCTCGAAGTAGATTTTTTTCTTTTCTTGTATCAACAACTTCTTAGCTATTTTACATTCTAGAAAGCTCAGAAAGGCTTTAAATTGAATAGAAAATTATGTTCTACAATTCAAGAGAACTGAAAATTTTTCTTTCTCAACTGACTTTATGAAAAAAAAATGAATGATTTTTAAGACCTTAGCTACATTTTAAAGCCAATTCGAAAGCTACATCATTATGTTTCGATGAGATATTCATCTCTCTTATGCAACATATGTTAGATTTATAGGAATGACGAACGAAACTCTTTTTTTGTTTTGCTAAATTCTTTTATACACAAACCAGAAAGATACATTTTTTAACAAATATATATTTACTTTGAAAAGCCAGCCATTTCTGTAACCATACGATCAAGTTCTTCAACCTATGATGATATATGAAAAAAATATATTCTTTTTTTTTTTTTGTAGGTTTATTTACTTTAGAATGATCACCATTGAATAACTGAAGAAATGATGCTTGAGTACCGGTTGTTCCTTTAACACCACGAAATTTTAATTGTCTTTTCATGCGATCGAAATTTTTTAAATCCATTAATAAATCTTGGATCCAGATACATGCTCTTTTACCAACAGTTGTCAGCTGCGCTGGTCTGAAAAACAAGAAGAATTTATTTATTATTTATTTCTCTTAATTAACAAAAGATAAACTCGGACAAAATAACATATTTCTTTTTATTATTGTTTTGGTACCTTCTTTGTTCGATATCTAATCGAGCTAATTCTTGACCTTTAGTATTCAATAAATATATTTCCTTGAGAGAACGACAGACTGCTGTCTATGTCAAGAACCTTAATGTAAACAAAGTCATTGACCTAAATCACGAACAAGTAAATATTAAACGAATTTACTTCTTTTTTTTGTATTTCAAGGTTATGCAAATAAATCTCAAGAGTAAAAACTATTTTAATCTCCGTCTTCAAGCTGTTATCGAGTTTTACAAATATTACTTGTTTTTTTCTTAACTTACAAAGAAATCAGAATACCGTGCTCTAAATTTTCATGCCGACAGCGTTTTAAAATATAATACATACTGCATATGTGTATAACCAAGTGTTGGTAATGAAGCATATTCTTGTGCAAATTGAGTTAAACGTTGAATACATCGTACAAGCTAAATAAAACAAATTATAATAAACATTATATTTGATAATAGTTTGATGTTTTACTTTAATGATAAGTATATCAAATGCATCTTTCATCACGATTAAATCCTATATTAGAATAGAAACATAGAAAAAAAATATTTTATAAGATCAGAAAAAAAAAGAAACAAATTCATACAGCATTATCACCAACATAAGCTGATGTTGCACCGAGATGAATAATTGGTGAAGCTTTTGGACAACAACGTGAAAATGTATTAATATGTGCCATAACATCATGTCGTCGACGCCGTTCTTCAGCTTCAGCAACATCAAAATCAATATTTGTTAAATTTCTTTCCATTTCATCTAATTGTTCATCTGTAATATCCAAACCAAGTTGCTAATTAAAACAAAAATCAAAGATCAGACAAATAGATAAATAGTTTTTCTTTTCAAGAATCATACTTGTTGACATTTGGCTAACCAAAACCAAAGACGTCGCCAAGTAGAAAACTTTTTGATTTCACTAAAATTATAACTCATTTCAGCAGATGCATACCGAGAATTTAATGGTGAACGATATTTTTCACGATCTTCGAGAGATACAGTAAATGATGATGCTGATGATTGATCTTTCATACTAGGTCCATTCAATATAGGCGGATTGCGTTTTATTTTTGTTAATTGTTGTTGTTCAGTATATAAAGATACTTGTGATGCATGGTTTGAATCGGATGTAATCGAACTTTTTTGGCTCCCATCTGTCGTTGTTGTTGTTGTTGTATCCGACATCTAAAAATAGATGAAATGTTCTCAGCATTATCGAACCAATACAAAAATTAGTTAGAATAATTTTTCATTCCTTTATTGATATATATATTAAATATAATAATGAATTAATTATGAAAAAAATAAATAGATAATAAATATTATTTGGATCATTGGTAGATGTATGTTATTTATATATTTGCGCGGTAGTCGCTTACACATGAGAAAAGCACTTACAGATAGAAGAAATATGGCGAGTTTTCTTTCAATCGACATGCATTTTCCCCATTGCACTTCTGTCCTGCCCCTAGTGCTGCAAAAAAAGAACAGAACGAACCTCATAATAAAATAAATAGCAATAGAAGAAGTCCAAGAGAATCGATGTTTTTTTTCTATTCTTTTCTTCATTTTTTTTTATGCGTCCTCTGTTTCTGATGTAGTAGTATCAGAATCTTTGTAAACAGACTCTTTCGTGACGTCGTCAATGTTTGACAAGTATATAGACATATATGTTTGCTCGCGTGCATTGAATTCAACAATAAATTAATTTATTGTTTTATTCTCAATCTTTCAGTGCTAACTACTTTTCCGCTATTTCCATTCTCTTCTGTTTTTTTTGTTTTTCATTCTGATTTCAAGTACTGTCTAGATGAAAAAACATAAGAAACAGTAGCGAATCTGAAAAGAGTACTTGAATACAATGGAAAAGAAAAACAAAAAAAAACTTTCAAAAAAAAAAACGAACTTGTGCTCTTTTCTTTTCTACAAATACAAAAAAATATGATCATAATCATTGACAACAGCTGTCCGGAAGAGCAAAAATGATAAAAAATATTATTTGCATAGGATATAAATTAGTATTTGTATAGTAAGAAAAAAAAAACAAGAAGAAAATTCTATTAAAATATGAAACTAGTGTTATCAAGTATTATATATCAATTGTTGAGAAAGTAAATCGATAATAGATTGGTTATGATTAATATTCATATGGGAATAAAACAGATTGTGCATTTTTCTTTTATAATTTATTCAATAAATATTCAAGTTTTTTTATGTAGTAAAAAAAACAATATGTTATTATAATTTGATATTTTTTTAATAGTGAATCATTCGTTTATGATGACCTATGCTTTAAATAGACAGAACAAAAAGAAAAACAATTTTATATTTAAATAGAATAATACAAATAAATGCTAACATGATAGAACGAGTCATCTATAATTATTATGGAATAGCAATTATATTAGAAAAGGACAAGTAAACATATGGTGCATATAAGACTGATAAAACATCAGATATTAACTGGAATAATCGATGCTAGCATTCTTCACTGTTTTCGAATATTTATCAAATGTTCGTCGTTTATTAAATCGATTTCATACTTTTTACAGTTCATCAACATCTTCAACAGAAACATCACTACCACCATCAACAACAACAACAAAACGATTTGATGAACAAGTCTCAATAGATCGTATTTCTACATCCAATGAACAACAACATGATATTCTTCTTGGACCTGTTGTTAATAATATTCTATCAGATAATCGTTTAAATTATTTTGATAAAAAATTTCGTGAAGATCTTCAAAATGAAGATTATTTTGCTCGTGAACTTGATGCATGTTTACTTGAAATGCGTGATATTGAACGTGATTTATTAAATTTAAAACAACGACAATGTTATTTTTATGAACAATATTTAGATTTTATTGATAAAAAGAATGAACTTATCGATCAATTTATTGAATATTATGATGAATATATATTAGATAATTCTGATCAATCATCATCTTCAACATCAAAACATTTACGACGACAATCAATTAAATATGAATTTAATATACCTGTATCAAATCGTTTTGATTTATTAAAATCATAATATATAAAAACTTTCAAATAAATAAATAAATAAAAAATTATTCACTTTTATCTATTATATAATTTTGTTGTGGGTAAATTAATTTTAATATTCTGAGAACTATAATAACTTACCGAATATATTGTTTTTATATCTAAAAATAAATAATATAAAAACAAATCTATTGTTTTTTTTTGAATATCATATTTCAATAATTGAATAACATTTCCCGCTTGTATTTGAACAATAAATTTTTGATGTAGTATCTATAGTTTACTGTAAATAATTGACTACTAGATTGCAATGAACTGTTATTACGCTAAATTTATAATCATTTCATCTTTTTTTTAAATAGATATTTAAACTTTAGAAACTAAAAGAAAAATAACGATGTATTTGTCTATATCCTTTGTTTTATGTTATATGTTCTAACTTTATATGAAGTTAATGTGTCGACAATGTCACGCACGATTTTATTATTAATTATGAGAAACTAAAAAGAATCTTTTCAAATGAAAAAAAATACTTTTAACTTCATCAGGAAACAGGATGAAGCATAGGTGAGTGGAATAAAATTCTGATGAGTTTCAAACCTTGAAATTCAATTACCTATCATTGAAATATCTATATTCATAGTGACAAGAAATTCTTATATTATGAGTTCAATATGTTGTCTGATAAGTATTAAGAATAACTTAGGATTATAAATAAGTTTAAAATTCAAAAGTTAGAAAAAAAAAACAAATGATTCTTTTAGTAGAAAATCAATTGTTATATTTAAATTATTAAAAAGAAAAAGGTAAGATAAGATTAAGTATAATAGATCGATAGGATATCATTTTTTAATAGGATAACTTTTTTGAACAAACATTAACGAGTACTTAACATGACTCATACATCTACTATTTTAAACTATAGTGTATCTTTATAGTGTCATTATCGGACATGTGATCTCGTTGTTCTATAAAATATGACAAATTAGGTTTGGTACACATTAAACAAATTAAAATTGGATTAAACAATGTGGATTTATGTTTCTATGTAGCAACACCAATCAAATTGATTAATCTAGTTTTAATCTATTTAGTGTTCACAACACAAGGTCTTTGATTGAGCGTAAACATGATTATCTATTGGGATCGAACGCTTCCATGTCTTATGAACGAATCTGAAATATTTACACAGATGGCGTTGCTTTACATAACAGTTTCTGTTTTAAAGATCGATCAAACATATATGTACTTCCGGGTTCTATTACTTGGACATTAGCGGAGAAAAGTTCTCAAGAGAGGCAAAGATCTTCCAGTAACGCTTCTGTAGAAAGAGCTCAAATCAGTTTTTAAATGAAGTTCAATGGTTAGTAGTTGAAGCTCGAAGTTTTTCGGATGTCAAATCACTTTTCAACTGAGACGATGTTTATTTGATAAGTCATGAAAAAAAAAGTCTAGAACGATTTGATTTTTCAGATCTTCGTTCTCAATATATCGAAATTTTACTAGGATACTTATGGTTTTCCTCAAATCATTTGGAAAACAAATCTTCGACTGCAAACGTTGCACGAACAAAGCTCTTAATGAGACTAGATAATTGTGCAAGTTGCAACGTTTCTAGTATCTCTTATCATGAAATATCTCATATTCGAAATTATCTTAAGTGTAAAAGCACATGATGTTCATATATTTACATCTTCACAATGGAAATATTAAAAACAAGACGGATAAATCAATCTAATTGAGAGGTTTGTTGATGCAAAGTTCGAAGTCGAAACTCGAAAATAGTGTTTCAACGTGGTCTAAGAGGGACTACCACTTTTTGTTGAAAAAATTCAGCGAAATTGTGATGCTTGCAAAATCAAATCATTCTAGATTCTTCTTATACTCACCAAATGAACATTGTCTTGATGGAAAAGTGATTGAACACTTGAAAAGGTTACTTCATGAGCTCTCCTCTTTCTTTAGTTACGCCAGTTGAACTTTGATATGTTAAAATGCATTATTTAGTTGAAAGAGCGATAAATTTATTTTCACATTAACGAGAAAAGACTTTCACTTCAACAGAAGCTTTTTAGTGAGCAAAAAAAAATAAGGCATTCTCTTTCCCGAGTTCTTATTTTTTCTTTTTTTGCTTTTTAAAGATTGACTGCACATTAAAAAAAAAAGGCTTGAAATGTAAACAAAATCACAAAACAGTGATAACAATTTTATTTCGATAACAAATACAGTGCAAGTTGTTCTGTATCATTAATAGTTTTAGTAGTATCTTCATTGATAAATTCTGTTAGTGATCGTTGTTTTTTCTTTTTCTTCTTAGGTTCAACAGGTGATAAGCTTCGTTTTCTAAATAAATAAATTAAATAAACAAAAAAGTATAGAAATTGTTTGTTTTTTATTGAAGTGTTACAAACCTTTCTAATCTTTCTTGTTCGTCAGTTCCATTAGAAGGAGGTTCTTCTTCTTCTCTTTCTTCCTCTCGTTCTTCCACTTCTTCTTCTTCTTCTTCTTCTTTTTGTTTCAGACGTCTAGCTTCTCGAGCTGCTCGACGAGCTTCTTTCTCTTTCATACGTCGTTCCTTAAAAAGAGATAATATTAATTAAGGCTATCTTCTAGACCAAATATAAATATTAACCTTATGTTTTTGTTTGACTAATGCACGATAAGCTTCTTTATCTGTTTTATCGATTTGTTGAAGACGAGTTTTAGCTTCTTCTATATTATATATTGGTGATTGATCTTCTTCATCAGAATGAACAATTGGCTAATTTATGAAAATAATAATTAGATTATTGAATTTAATGTAAAACTATAATAATAAAAAGAAAAAATACTTACGTTGCCTTCATCATCATATTCAATACGTTTATTAATGAGAAGATTTTTTTTGCGTAATTTTTTAGCTAATTTAGTTTTAGTTAATTTCTTTTCTTTTTCTGATGGTTCAGGTAAATTAACAGTTTCTTGTTCAAGTATATCAGACGTTCTTTTAACTGTAAACCAGTTATCATCATCATCATCATTGTCATCATCTTTATTTTCTTCTGAATTATTTTCAATATTATTTTTATGTTCAATAGATGCTTTAATATCTGTATCTACTGATTGTTCTTGTTTTTGTCCTTTTTTCACAAAACGAACTTTTGGAGCAATTTCAAGACCCAATGAACTATCATATAAATTAAAAAAGAAAACATTTAAATAATGAATGGCATATTATAAATTTAAACTGTTTATATTTTGATTTTATCAAAACATGGCGCTTGAAATTCTTCACAAAATCATATATGATTAAAATGGAAAATTGTTATAGATATATTAGAAAACAAGATGAAAAATAAAGGTAGACTGAAGAAAATGTATTATGATTCATTGCAAAGAATCAAACTACGGATAACAAATGATCCAACATATTTGACTTTATCAATTTAGCAAACCGTTCCTTATCGTACACATACAGTTCGAAGAAAAGTGAATATTTGGAAGGTGAAACGGATGTCAACAAGAAAGCTGCCTGTTGAAACACAGCGCGTGTCAATACTATATCATTTTGAGCCAACGAGTTCAGCATCCTGAGGTCCTTAATTTCCGGCCGGAAGATCTCTGAATTTTTTCCGGGCCAACTTTCCGTTCTGTCTGGCAGGAAACAGTCGTAAAGCATCAGAAAAAAATCCGAGACTGGAATTATTGATCTTGATCTTAACCGAGTAAAGTCTGGCACCGAATTCCAGTTTTTCAACTACAAACAGCCTGTATTTCTTGAGTTGGGATGAAAATCTTGACTATTTTCCATAATAGAAGGTCATCGACTCAACCACGAGCGTTCTACACAACAAGAACGAACTAACATTACCTCAATGAAAAACATGGTACATGTCATTCTTCTGCATTCATATCGAAGAATCCTTAGTATCTGATTTCAATTCGTTAGATTATAGTTTATGGAATGAATTTAAGTCACTCAACAACAACAAAAGAAACATTAATAGATGAAATAAAATATTCTATCAAAAAAAAAAAAAAACGATTTTAAAATTTTGCACTAGATTTTCTTGTATGATTACGTTTAATCAAAAAAAAAGAAATGGAAGAAACTAAATTTGTTGTAAGACTTAATGCAGACGTTCAAACACTATCTTTTGATAATTGTTGTAATCAAATGAAGAATAGAGCAGAAATATTACAAATACAAACAGTCTCATTTATTCTGTACCACCGATTAGCTAAAATATCTTACCTTGCAAACGTATCTATATCAATTGATTGCACATCAAAGACTTTTCGATTGCCCATTAGAATAAGTGAACGAAGATAAGAAGTAAAGGCCTTTGAATTTTGAAACAAAAAGTTACGATTTTTTTTTTTTATTACAATGAGAATTTCTTTACTCGTTTTGCTTCTTCTTTGAGTTCTTGAAATTGTGCACAAAGTGCTTGAAGTTTTGGTGTTAAATCATGAATATAATTCGGATTAACTCTACAATCATTAAAAACAAAACACCATATTAAATCTTATATGAACATTTCTTTTTTTTTTTATTCTATATACTCGATTTTTTTTATAGGAACTTTTTTATCTTCTAATTGTTTAATCATTCCTTGTTCTTCACGACTTGTTAAAATTAATAAAGCTTCTCCACCTTGTTGAAACCTATTTCAAGATAAAAATATTCGAAGCGTTTATTTATATTTATTAAAAAATTCTTTCTTTTACCGTGCAGTTCGTCCAACTCGATGAATATATGTATTTGCATCAGGTGGACAATCAAATTGAACAACCCAATTAATAGCCGGAAAATCTATAAATACATATTAATAATAATTAAAAATTTATAAATTTATTTACCTAAGCCTCTTGCAGCAATATCTGTTGCAAATAAACATGCATATTGTTTTCGACAAAATTGATCATATATTGACATTCGTTTGATTTGACCCATTGTACCATAGAGAGCAAGTACTGGTAAACCTGGACGAAGTTTACATACAACATTATAGATAAATTTAACCTAGAAATGAATTAAATAGGGAA